AGGGGCACGTGTACCCAATTGTTTATAGCAACAATGTCCACAATAGCCAAACTATGGGAAGAACCTAGATGTCCATCAATAGATGAATGGATAAGGAAGATGCGGTATATATACACACAATGGAATACTATGCAGCCATCAAAAGAAATGAAATCTTGCCATTTGCAAAGACATGGATGGAACTAGAGTTTATTATGCTGAGGGAAATAAGTCAATCAGAGAAAGACAATTATTATATGATCTTCCTAATATGAGGAATTTGAGAGGCAATGTACAGGGTTGGGGGGATAGGGAAGGAATAAATGAAACAAGGTGGGATTGGGAGGGAGACAAACCATAAGAGACTCTTAATCTCACAGAACAAACTGAGGGTTGCTGGGGGGAGGGGGATTATGGAGAGGGTGGTTGGGTTACAGATATCAGGAAGTGTATGTGATATGGTGAATGCTGTGGCGTGTGTAAACCTGAAAATTCACAGACCTGTACCCCTGATGCAAATAATACATTATATGTTAATAAAAATAATTAATGAAAAAGAAGATTATCCACTATGACCAGGTGGGATTTATCCCTGGGATGCAAGGGTGGTTCAACATTCACAAATCGATCAATGATAGAACAAATCAATAAGAGAAGGGAGAAGAACCACATGGTCCTCTCAATTGATGCAGAAAAAGCATTTGACAAGATTCAGCATCCTTTCCTGATTAAAATGAGTATAAAGAGTATAAGGAGAGAGAGAACATTCCTCAATTTCATAAAATCCATCTATGAAAAACATACAGTGAATATCATTCTCAATGGGAAAAAGCCTTCCCATTGAGATCAGGAACACGACAAGGATGCCCACTCTCAACACTACTGTTCAACATAGTTCAACTATGTCTAACTAATTCAGTCAGAATTCCTAGCAACAGCAATCAGAAAACAAAAAGAAATAAAAGGTATTCAAATTGGCAAAGAAGAAGTCAAACTCTCTCTCTTTGCAGATGACATGATACTTTATGTGGAAATTCCAAAAGTCTCCATCCCAAATTATTAGAACAGATACAACAATTCAGTAACGTGGCAGGATAAAAAATCAACACACAGAAATCTGTTCCTTTCTTATACACTAACAATAAAAATATATAAAGGAAAATTGGAGAATTGATTCCACTTACAATAGCATCAAAAACCATAAGATACCTTGGAATAAACCTAATGAAAGAGGTAAAGGATCTGTACTCGAGGAACTACAGAACACTCATGAAAGAAATTGAAGAAGACACAAAAAAAATGGAAAAACATTCCATGCTCATGGATTAGAAGAATAAACATTGTTAAAATGTCTATACTGCCCAGAGCAATCTATACTTTCAATGCCATACTAATAAAAACACCAATAGCATTTTACAAAGTGCTGGAACAAACAATCCTAAAATTTGTATGGGCCTGAATCGCCAAGAAAATGTTGGAAAGGAAAGCCAAAGGGGGCATCAAGTTGCCTCATTTCAAGCTTTACTACAAAGCTGTGATCACCAAGAAAGCATGATACTGGCACAAAAACAGACACATAGACCAGTGGAACAGAGTAGAGAGCCTAGATACAGACCCTCAACTCTATGGTCAAATAATCTTCAACAAAGCAGGAAAAAGTATACAGTCAAAAAAAGACAGTCTCTTCAATAACTGGTGCTGGGAAGATTGGAGAGCTACGTATAGAAGAATGAAACTCGAACATTCTGTGACACCATACACAAAGATGAACTCTAAATGGATGAAAGAACCCAACGTGTTGCAGGAATCCATCAAAATCTTAGAGGAGGACCTAGGCAGTAACCTCTTCGACATCAGCCACAGCAGCTTCTTTCAAGACACATCTTCAAAGGCAAGAGAAATGAAAGCAAGTGTAAGTAATAACACGGAGGACATGGGGAGATGGACAGAAGAGAGTTGGGGGAAATTGGAGGAGGAGACAAGCCATGAGAGACTGTGGATTCTGAGGAACTAACAGAGAGTTTTGGAGAGGAGGGGCATGGGAGGTTGGGTGAGCCTGGTGGTGGGTATTGTGGAGGGCACGTATTGCATGGGGCACTGGGAGTGGCACATAAACAATGAATTCTGGAACACTGAAAAGAAATTAAAAAATAAATAAATAAAAATTTTTTAAAAATTCCAGTTAGTTAACACCCAGTAAAAAAAAAAAAATGAACTTTTGGGACTTCATCAAGATAAAAAGCTGTGAGGGTGCCTGTGTGGCTCAGTGGGTTAAATCCTCTGCTTTCAGCTCAGGTCATGATCCCAGGGTCCTGGGATTGAGCACCACATCAGGCTCTCTGCTCAGCAGCGAGCCTGCTTCCCCCCACTCTCTGCCTCCCTCTCGGCCTACTTGTGATCTCTGTCAAATAAATAAATAAAATATTTTTTTTAAAAAAGATAAAAAGCTGTGCAGCAAAAGAAACATTCAACAAAACAAAGAGGCAACCCATGAAATGGGAGAAAATATTTGCAAATGACACTACAGAAAAAGGGCTGATATCCAAGATCTATAAAGAACTTTCAAACTCAACACCCAAAAAACAGATAATCATGTCAAAAAAAAATGGGCAGAAGACATGAACAGATAATTCTCCAATAAAGACACATGAAAAAGTGTTCATCATCATTAGCCATCAGGGAAATTCAAATCAAAACCACACTGAGATACAATCTTACACCACTTAGAATGGCAAAGATTAACAATGCAGGAAACAACAAGTGTTGGAGAGGATGTGGAGAAAGAGGAGCCCTCTTACACTGTTGGTGGGAATGCAAGCTGGTGCAGCCACTTTGGAAAATAGTGTGGAGATGCCTCAAAAAAATTAAAAATAGAGCTACCCTATGACCCTTCAACTGTACTACTGGGTATTTACCTCAAAGATACAGATGTAGTGAAAAGATGGGCCATAGGTACTCCAATGTTCATAGCAGCAATGTCCACAATAGCCAAACTGGAAAGAGCCAAGATGCCCTTCAATAGTCGAATGGATAAAGAAGATGTGGTCCATATATGCAATGGAATATTACTCAGCCATCAGAAAGGATGAATACCCAGCTTTTGTAGTAACATGGATGGGACTGGAGGAGATTATGCTGAGTGAAATAAGTCAAGCAGAATGAGTCAATTATCATACGGTTTCACTTACTTGTGGAGCATAAGGAATAACATGGAGGACATTAGGAGAAGGAAAAGAAAAATGAATTGGGGGAAATCAGAAGGGGAGATGAACCATGAGAGACTGTGGACTCTGAGAAACAAACTGAGGGTCTTGGAAGGGAGGGGGTGTAGGGATGGGTGATCCTGGGGCTGGGTATTAAGGAGGGCAAGTATTGCATGGAGCAATGGGTGTGTGCATAAACAATGAATTCTGGAACACTGAAAATAAATTAAAATTCATTGATTAATTAATTGATTGATTGATTTAATTGTGTTAGTCACCATACAGTGCACCATTACACAATTTTGATGTAGTGTTAAATGATTCATTGTTTGTGTATTAACAGCCAGTGCTCCATATGCACAATGAGATATTACTCAGCCCTCAGAAAGGATGAATACTCAAATTTTGCATCAACATGGATGGGACTGGAAGAGATTATACTAAGTGAAATAAGTCAAACAGAGAAAGTCAATTATCATATGGTTTTACTTTGTGGTTCTAAACACAGAGAAGATCACAGATCCATGGAACAGATGCATGGGTGCTGTTTGCTAGGTCTCCTTAGCCCAAGCTTAACTTGACCTTGACATTCTCAGCAGGAAGTAGGGAAGTCAGCCTTAAAACCAGCAATCATAAACTTTGGCCCTATTCCCAGCATCAATGCCCTTCCCAGTATCTAGTTAATTTTTTCTCTTCCTTAAATATAAGCTCAAGAAAACTGAGCTAAAACTTTTGTCTAGAAAACTATTTTTCATTGTCTATACTTGACATGTAACCTGCATTTTAGGTGTTTAAATAACTGTCACAAGTATACTTAAAATAATATGCCATAGTTAGGGATTTTGTCATGTATTCTACCCTTCTAAGTCTATTCCTGGGCTTTTATACTTTGTACCTTTTTTCAAGTTTTTGAGAAACACTCATATATGCTTAATTGTAGAATATTCAAAACACACGGAAAATTACAGAGAATAAATAGCAACTACCCATTATCTACCCTTCTCCCATTTAACAAATTTTTTTAAAGTATTGTTATTAAATATTAAAATAAAAAGGATTGAATGTTAAATTTAACAAGTGCTAGAAGTTCCTTCTCCACCTCACTGGTGGCAATCACTGTTCTATTTCTATCCTCATGGATTAGTTTTTCCTATTTGTTTGAAAGTAGTCAAACATTATGCAGCTTGGTGTCTGACTTGCTTTTACTTATGACAAAGTTGAGATTCATCCATGTTGTTATATGTATCTGTAGTCAGTTCTCTTTTATTGCTGACTAGTCAGTCAGTCGATTTGACTACTAAGTCTATTTACCCATTTGATTTTTCATTTATCTCTTGATGGAGACTGCTTATTTATTTATTTAAATTTTATTTTATTTTTTTCTGTGTTCCAAGATTCATTGTTTATGGCACCACATTGTGGTGTGGCACCACACCCCACTGCTTTTTTAAACAACACCCTCACTTATTCTATCCCCCACCCAGCACTGCTATCTGAGGTGGAGGTCTGCCTCTCTCCAGGCTCGTATTCATACAGTGGGGCCTCTGTAACCATCTATTTCATCCCTTCCACTTATATGCAGTCTGATTTCTGAGGCCCTAGAGGGATCCTAGGTTCCCTTGATACTAACTGGGTCTCAAGGGCTGGGGAAAGGTGGTCTTATGGGAAAACCAGGCCCTGGAAAAGGAAGCCAGATTTGCAGAGGTGATGTTGGTGGGAAAGTATGGGAGATTTTCCCCAAGGGCGTCTTTGGCCTCCTGCCCCTTCCTCTGTTCTATGATTAACTGAGAACTTCCTGACTGCGCCCTTCCTTCTGTCACCTCAAGGCTCTGAGTCAGTGTTTTAACTCTCTCCCAGGGCACTGAGTGTCCTTTGGTGCTCTACTGCTCAGCTCTTCACTTCTCCTTCAATGCATGCTCTGTGATGGCTTTTGGAATTGTGCTCCTTCTGGGTGGTGAGTGGGGGCTTTCAGGGCTGGGAGAAGCCTGGGGCGTGCTTTTCCATCTGGTAGAACAGGCTGGGGTTGGTGATTAGCTCATATATCTCTCTGGAGGGGCTGAGAACAGGGGAGGACCCTAGTGTCCAGTCTTGTGTGGAAGGAGGAATGGCCTGGAATCAAGGGAAGGTCATAACCTGAGCAAAGAGAGAGAAGTTGGACTTATAGGCTATGCTTGGGAATAGCTTGAGCTCCCTCTCCACAATTCCTCCTGTGAGGATTCTGGTGTGTGGTATGGGGGACAGGACTCTGCCCCAGGGCCTCAGGGTGAAGGCCATAGGAGTCACTAGGAAGGGAAAATGGTGGATATCACCTCCTTGGTCCCTCATGTCCTTCAAGTCTTGATTTCAGGTATGTTGTCCCGCTGTTGCCAAAAGAATAGTCCAGAAATTGAAAACTGTATCAGGACCACATCCACGTGTCATTTGAAATCACTCGTGTGTCTATTAAAAATCAGATTTCACACAAAAGTCTAGACTGTCAACTTCTCTTGAGAGATTGTAAGGTCTAGAGCTCTGAACACTAGAGCTTGGTAATGGCTTCTTCCTTTAAAGGGGCCACAGACTGTAAGTACCAGTAATTCCTGGTGCTCACACTTACCCACTTCAGTTACTGATGTCACCTCCCTGGCCTCTGAGGTATTTGAGTCTGAGACCCTTGGCACCCTCTTACTTGTCAGGTCATAGAGCCTGTTTTCAGACTCAGAAACAGAATCATTCTCTGAAAGGAAGATATAGGATGTGAAGCTCCCTTGCATATGGCTATAGTAGGGTTACAGCACCTTCAACATCTGGCCTTTTCCTTAGAACCCTAGGGTTCAAGTGTCTGGACGCTGCCTGTCACTTCCTGGCCTGATGCTTTAACTCCTTAGAATTTCCTTACTTTGTGGGTTGGAGTTGACGCCTCAATCCGGAGACTGGGAATTCTAGTAGAAATGGTTAGTAGAAATGTTGCTTGGGAGTAAGGGTGTTGAGAAAAGCCCTTGAAATGTAGAGGGTCATCTGCTGAGGTTTTGAGCTTAGTCACCAGAGAGGAGAATGTCAAGGGTCAAAGAGTGGGTTGGAATCCTGGTTGTATCAGTGACTTGTTATGCAGTTTTAGGCCAGTCAACAAATAGTAATTAGTCATTTGTTAAGGGCCAGGCACTGTACCAGGCACCACACAAGACTGTTGCAATCCTTGCCCTCTTAGAGCCCAACACCAAGAGAGGGGAACATGGAAAACATAAAATTACAAATTATCAAATTTACAAATAAAATTCTCAGTCTGTTCCCTAGCCTGGACCTTAGGGTCTCTGTATAATGAGAAGATGGAGCAGGACAGTCTTTAAGAAGGGTAACCATATGCCCTGGTTTGCCTGGTCCAGTCCCAATGACCCTGCTGTAATTATTAATGGTGCCCCTTTCACTCACAGAAGGTCTCAGTTTAGAAAATAAATTACATGGTCACTTTCTCTTTAGGGGACATGCCTGATCTAACAGACCAGGAGGTGACAGGCCTAATTTCAGATTGTGGATGTCCTAGGAAATGTCCTGGAGGGGGCATTTTTCTGGATTGTCATTTTTTGTATTATGGCTTAATTATTTCTGAGGGAGAGAGATAGGAGCCATATAGATGGCAAATCAGGAAACAAAGAAAAAGAGAACACCCTTCTCCTGGGCACATGAGCTGAATTGGGGTGGGCATCAAGATCCCAAGAAGTCAGGGGTCCAGAGAAGATGAGGCTCTTCTGACGGTTCCTCCTACCCCTGCCTCCCTTTCCATATTCCTCAGTCCTGGCTTCTTGTCATGGATTCAACTTGGATGTGGAGGAGCCTGTGATATTTCAAGAGGATGGAGCTAGCTTTGGACAGAGTGTGGCCCAGTTTGACAGATCTAGGTAGGCCATACCCACTCCCTTACCTCTATTCCTTCCACCTGCAGGCAAATGGTTGAACGTGGCATGATTAGGAGGTGTCCTGGAGGAAGGGCAGCATGGGCAAGAAGCCTGTCCACCACTCCTCCAAGGCCCATGACACCCCTACTACTAACTATTCACAATCCCAAGAAGGACCACAAACTCTGGACAAGATAATACTTCAGGAGGAAGGTCCTGAATCTGTTCTTCAGTGATCAGTACATGTGACCAGTACAGTCACCCTGGTGCTTGAAGTAATGTTTTTCAGTCTTCCTTTTGAAAATGTTAATAATTTAATCTTAGCATTTGCATATTGTAAGTTAAATTCATGGGACAGTGGAGCTGTGCTGTGGGTTAAAGCCTTGGCTCACATGCAGCCCAGCATTCTGGGGAATGTTTCTCAGCTGCCACCCTCAGTCCCTGGCATGAGCTGAACAAGGTCAGGGTTGGCTCAGGTGCACAGTTCACCCAGTCTTATGGGGGTTTTCACTTGTCCCATGAGTATCCCTGTGCCTGAGGGAATGCAACATTAAAGAGAAAAAAGTAAATACCAGGACAGGTAGAGAGGCAAATTGCAAAGAAGAATAAGACGAAGGAGAAGGAAAGGAGAAGGAGAAGAAGAGAAGGAGGAAGAAGAAGAAGGAGGAGGAAGTGGAGGAGGAGAAGAAGAACAGAAAACAAAAAAAAAAAAAAGGGGGGGGGAAAGGAAAAAAAAAACTTTTTTCCCCATGAACAAGAGGCCCCACATCTTTATTTCACTCTGGGACAGGCAAGTTATATACCTCACCCTGCCTCCAGAAGTGCACAGTCTCAGTTCCCAGTGACTGGGACCCAAGATGTTGAAGTTACCATGTGATCCAAGCATAACCAAAGTCTGGGAGGCACAGGAAGGGAGAGATCAAACCCAAGAGGGAATTCCAGGAAGGCTTCACAGAGGAGGTGACATTGGCAATGAGCCCGAGAATACAGGAAGATTCAGCTGGGCAAGAAGTAGCATTTTGAGGTCACTGAGTACTACATGCACATCCATCCCTCCTCCTCATCCAGCTGGCAGGCTGGGACATGGAAGCAAGTGCCAGGTGCCAGAGTTTTGTTTTTTCCTTTGTTCGTTTTGAAATACAGAGCTCATAAACTGAAGTGCACAGACTTGAAAGGTCCAACTCAATGAATTTTTCATATGTATATAGCCAGGTAACTGCTGCCTAGATCAAGGTGTAGAACATCTTCAGCTCCCCTACCCTGGGTTCCTTTGCTTGGCAATTAATTGAAAGATACAAACATTTATTTAGTTATTTCATTTGAGAGGAGAGATTGTTGGTAAATATAACTTTTTAATTAAAAATTAATTCTCTCCTTTCAAAGAGTTTTGCAGAAATTGTTGCACTTATATGACTATAGATTTTGATATGAATTCGGATACTGTATTTTATTTTTTTGTTTCTTTTTATTTTTTATTAACATATCATGTATTATTAGCCCCAGGGGTACAGGTCTGTGAATCGTTAATCTTACACACTTCACAGCACTCACCATAGCACATACCCTCCCCAGATACTGTGGTTTTAAATTGTCCAACTTAAATTATTGATATTAAAACTGTCCAATTAATTACAGGATCATCTATTTGTTTTGGTAACTTATGGCTTTAGCAGATTTTTCTGTTTAAATTGAGGTGATCTATTTCTTGGGTGGCTCAGAATGATGGCACCTCAAAAACTAAATGCTCTTGTCCATGGTTGGGAAATGCTGTTTTGCACTGGATAGTTTTATTTTTGGTGAATGCTGAAAAAAAAAAAAACCCCACTAAAACCATTTTTGTATATAAATACACACTTATTTATGTATACCCCCACACAAACAAAGAAAAAGCCCAGCATGGTCCTTTGACACATGTGGGTTGAACTCAGGCCCCATTATTTAAAGCTTCATGAGTGGCAAATGCCAAGAGCTTCCCTCTCAAAGTCTCACTTCCCTGTTACACAGTGATACTTCCTCACCTGAAGTGCCCTGTGCCCTTACCCTTCCTGCAACTATATGTCATGTTTGTGCCTACAGACTCGTGGTGGGAGCCCCCCTGGAGGTGGTGGCGGTCAACCAAACAGGACGGTTGTATGACTGTGTGGCTGCCACTGGACTATGTCAACCCATACCACTGCACAGTGAGTGACTCCACCCAGAAATTGTGGCCCTCAGTCCTCTACTGCAGTGCTCCCTCCTTGGCCTCTAGCCCTGACTCTCCCCACAAATGGGGATATGCCCATGAATGATCATGTGTATCTGTCCTTTCAGCACCCCCAGAGGTCGTGAACATGTCCCTGGGCCTGTCCCTGGCAACCTGCACCAATCGCTCCTGGCTGCTGGTAAGTTTCCCTGGGTCATAGGAGGGTGACGAGGGGAGGAGCAGGGGCTAGGGGAGGCTGGGACTGGAAGAAGAGTATGGAAAGTTCTGGGGAGCCCCTTGTTCACACAGGCCTCTGCCCTTAGGCCTGTGGCCCCACCATGCACAGAGCCTGTGGGGAGAATATGTATGCAGAAGGCTTCTGCTTCCTGTTGGGCTCCCACCTGCAGACCATTTGGACCATGCCTACTTCCCTGCCAGGTAGGTCCCTACAGAGACAGTGATTCTATGTGAGTACATGCTGGCTCTGAAGGGTGGGCAAAGCACACAACTCTGGTCTTGGCTTCCTGTGTCCATGGCCCCTTCCCAGAGGCCTCAGCAAGCCCAAGAAGGTCTGGGAACATGGTCTGACCAGGCAGGGAGGGAAGCTCACAGAAGGAAGTCTAAGCTAGTCAAGGGGAGAAAGTTCTGGTGAGGCAGAAGAGAGTCTCAGAGTGCTGGCTGCAGGAGGCATGAGGGCCTCACAGGTGTCAACAAGTTCAGGGATGCTTTCTGGGCTTTCAGAAGAAAGACCCTGGGTTTTGAAAATGTGGTGAGGATCATAGATCCTTGGATAGGGTCCAAGAAGGAGGCTGTTCTGGATCATTCACTGCTGAGCTTCTAAGGGGAGCAAATGGTAGGGCCAAGGAAACTGTGCATCACAGTTTTGCCAGCAACAATGCTTTCTGCAAAGAATGGTGCCAGAGAGAGTGAGCAGCAACTCTGAGCGTCAATCTGAATGAGTTTGTCTTCTGTGTACTTTCCTGAGCTTTAATTTCCTCATTGGTAAACTGGGTCTGAATAATTATGGTGGTTGTGACAATCAAAAGATTTAATATATATAACGTGTTTTGACTTCTGCCCAACACATAATATGTGAATACCGTGATGACTGACCTTCTAGCTAGGACCATGAGTTAGCACTAGGAGGAGGAGATAATGGGCTCCAAGTCAGGGACAGGGGCCACTCAAGGCGCTGACTGAGAGCAATGTTTTAGACTAAAGAAGCAATGATGCCAGGCATGGTGGGCTTTTAGGCAAAGGTTAGAGCTGCAACAGAAAGACCTCCCACCCAAACTCTGAGAGCAGAGTCTACAAAAGGGACAGAGAGAGTAAAGAGTGGGATTCCAGGAGTCTTGGGGATAGCATGACTTGCCGGGGATATCTGTGCAGCCAGGGGAGGCTATATGACATTTAAGCACTAGGAGGTAAGACTCTTCTCCTAGATGTCTCCATGACTCATGAGGTGGGATGCCTGATGAAAACGGAACACAGGCGTGTAAGCCTGGTGTAGGCAAATCAAGTTTGAGTAGAGGTAGAAGTGACTACCTCAATTGTAGCCAGACAATGCCTGATGACTGGTGTGCATTTTTATTGCACCCCACAAGATCCGGGCTGGTAGGTAGGATGGTCTTGTCTAACAAGCAGGAAAACTGAAGCTCAGAGAGCTGAGTTCCTGCTGTTAGGAAGTGACAGAGCTGAGACCTGGAGCCAACCTCACCTGACTGATTTGGTCTGTTTTTCAGAAGGTGCTCAGCTATAGCCTGGTGCTTGCTATTGGAAGCCCAGTGAAGATAGTAAAAGGAACAAGAAACAGAAGTGATATTTTTAAAAGACTTTATTTATTTATTTATTTGATGGACAGAGAACACAAGTAGGCAGAGAGGCAGGCAGAGAAAGAGGAGGAAGCAAGCTCCCTGCCAAGCAGAGAGCCCGATGAGGGGCTCAATCCCAGGACCCTGGAGCCATGACCTGAGCCAAAGGCAGAGGCTTTAACCCACTGAGTCACCCAGGCACCCCAGAAGTGATATTTTGAGAGAACTTGCCACCATCGTGGCCTGAGAGAGCATATGAGGGGTGGTTTTGTGGAGCAGCTAACAAAATGAGCACAAGTGTAAGATGTGGAGATGGGGACTTCAACTACCCAGCTGTGGGGACATTGGGTGAGGAGGGATGCAGTGAGGGCTTCTTGGCCTGCCATGTGTGGGGCTGAATTTCCTGGTCAAGAATTCAGAAAAAAAAAACAACAGACTTTTAACTGTAGAGAACAAACTGGTGGTTAACAGAGGAGAGGTGGGTGGCAGAATGTAAGAGTATACTTAGCACAGAGGATCAAATGGTAAGGGAGGGAAACCAGAATGGGAAGTCATCAGAGAGGGAGAAAAACCATGAGAGACTCTTAACTATAGGAAATAAACTGAGGGTTGCTGGAAGGGAGGTAGGGGAGGGGATGGGGTAATTGAGTGATGGGCATTAAGTAGGGCACATGATGTGATGAACACTGGGTGTTATACACAACTGATAAATTATTGAACACTATATCTGAAACGAATGATGTACTATATGTTGGCTAAATAAATTTAAATTTAAAAAGAAAGCAGGGAGGGAAGTGGTCTTCCATTTCTTCTCAGCAGGGTTGAAGCACCAGCTGGTTGCATAGATGGGATGGGGGAGGTGTAGGGAGCAAGGAGAAAGTATTTTTGATTTTTTTAAAAGATTTTATTTATTTATTTGTCAGAGAGAGAGAGAGAGTGCGCACAGGCAGACAGAGTGGCAGAGGGAGAAGCAGGCTCCCCGCTGAGCAAGGAGCCCCATGTGGGACTCGATCCCAGGATGCTGGGATCATGATCTGAGCCGAAGGCAGCTGCTTAACCAACTGAGCCACCCAGGCAACCCAGCATTTTTGATTTTTTATTTCAGTGCCAAGAGGCCAGCTTCCACAGTTCAGTATCAAGCTTTGTTACTGTCTATGGTGGCTGATCTCCTACCACCTGGGGAGCAACACAGGATGTGGGGCACTGGTGGAGGTATCAACTGTGTCCTTCACACAGGCCACAAACACTTATGTGAGTTTGGGGTCAATGTGAAGTGTCTTATTTGTTTATGGGTGTGAGGTGTGATTTTCCATTATGGTGGACTCCATGAGGGCGGGGGTGATATCCTTTTTCAAGCTATGGTCTTAGACCAAGTTTCCTGAGAAATAGACTCTGGGGTTCATTTGGGAATACTCTTGGGAACAATAGTTCTTAGAGTGTGAAGGAAGCGGGACTGGGCAGTAAAAGAAGTTGGGCTCCTCAGCCAATCCAGAGGAGCTTGCAACATGGCTGGATGCAGGGCGCCCCCAGGAGCAGGAGTTGTAATATTGGACAAGTTATCTCCTGAGTTATCATCTGGGAGGCATCCACAACTACTCCCTGTAGCTGATAATAAGGACCTCTGTCCTGAAAGGGCGTGTGTCTTCTTGGTGGCAAACCTTAGCATCTGCTGCAGGTGTGTTCTTGTGCCTGGAAAAATGCCTGGCACACAGTGATGATGGTCATAACAGCTAATCTCCATAACAGCTATGGGGGGCCAGGCCCTGTCTTAAGTATTTTAGGTACACATCAACACTTTTTAGCCTACCCCATGTGTTAGGCACTGATATTTTACTATCCCATTTTACAGATGGGAAAACTGAAGCCCAGTGTAGTTAAATAAGTTGCCTGAATTCACCACTAGTAGGTGGCAGAGCTGGGATTTGAGCCCAGCATGCTCAGAATGCACACTTGAATCACTTTGCTAAATTGCCTTTCCCTCATGCTCTATGACATTCCTAGTGTGTAGTCAATAACTATTTGTTGAGTAGTTGAATAAGGAACCCATCTTGCCTCTGTCTTTTACTTCTTTCTCCCCTTTCTAGACCTTGTGGAAGGAGGGAAGCAGGGATTCTGTGGGGTGGGGGTAGGGGTGTTGGGGCAACTGATTTATTTATTTATTTATTTTTAGTTTAGAAGTCTTTTTTTTAAATTAAGTTTTAATTTTGATTCCAGTATAGTTACCATACTGTGTTATACTGGTTTCAGGTGTACAATATAGTGATTCAACAATTCCATACATCACCTGGTGCTCATCACAACATGTACACTCCTTAAGCCCTATCACTTATTTAACCCATCCCCCAACCACTTCTCTGGTAACCATCAGTTTGTTCTCTTCAATTAAGAGTCTGTTCCCTTCTTTTTCTCTCTCTCTCTGTCTCTGTCTCTCTCTCTTTTTTTCTTCAGTCATTTGTTTTGTTTCTTAAATTTTGGGCAACGGATTTGGGCCTCCTCCATGGAAAGTGTGGAAACTCGCTGGGAACTGATTCCTAGGCCAAGAATGGCCCCTTAACTCTGTGGAGCAGGAAGGGTTTCTGGACCCTGGGAGATGGCTGGGACCCACACGGGCATCTCTGATTCCTTCCTTCTTCTCTACAGAGTGTCCAAGTCAAGAGATGGACATTGTCTTCCTGATTGATGGTTCTGGCAGCATTGTCCAAAGTGACTTTAAGCAGATGAAGGACTTTGTCAGAGCTGTGATGGGACAGTTTGAAGGCACCAACACCCTGGTGAGGCTGGGTCTCCAAGATCTGGGAAGTGAGGAGGGGGTGGCAGCTGCCTTGGGAAGACCAACCTAGTAGGAAGCCTGGTATTGCTAGAGGTTAGCTTAGGGGACCTATGCCATGATGAGACTAGTGTCCCAGTACAGGGCTGATTTGAGTCCTGACCTGAGGGAATTCCCCCATGGCATTTGATATGTCCCCACATGGCCTAGGAAATACATTTTTTTTTCCTATTTAAAAGCATTGAAAGGATTGCAAAAATAGTTTTACTGTGAAATTAGACTGAAGGTAACTTGGTCAAATAATTAATGATTTCTTTATTATGTTTCCATGTAATTCATGATTTATCTTATTATTTTATTTCCCAGTAATTCATGCATAATGTATGTAGAAATTCTTGAGAAGTGAGAAAATGTAGTCTATAAGTTGACTTCACATGTTACGAAATTTTTTTAAAGTCCAAGTTAAGAAATGTTGAGGTAGGAAAGGTTATTCCTTGCAAACTCTGAAAGAAGCATCATTTGGTTTTGATTTTCTAGTTTCTTTTTGGGCCATATTTCCCCTGGGTTTTAGCCTCAAAGACACATGGAAAGTTGTTTGTAAATCCAAAATTATTCCAAAATAAAAAGTTTATTAAAGAATAACTCCTGAGCCCCACGGCATTCCTCTTCTCCTTTGCAGTTTTCCCTGATACAGTACTCCAACCGCCTGAAGATCCACTTTACCTTCACCGAATTCCAGAGTACCTCAAACCCTCAGAGCCTGGTGGATCCCATTGTCCAGCTGGATGGCCTCACATTTACAGCCACAGGGATCCGGACAGTGGTGTAAGTTCCCCCTTCTGCCTCATGTGGATAAGCCACCACACCACTTCCTATGCTGGTCTGCACAGCCCTTCTGCACAGCTGTGGGAACTCTGGGGAAAGGGGCTCAAAAGGGAAGTGAGGGGGAAGTAGGTGGAGATATCCTTGGATTATTCCCCTGATATAGTACAGCACTTCTCTTCTGTGTTTCCTCTTTGCCTGGCCTTGAATTGGCTGGACCCTAATTCCAAATGGGGCAGCCAGAGACATGGACTTTGGTTCAGATATACCCATGTTCTCATTCTTGCTCCCTGTTGGTGACCTGGGCCACCCTGGGAGTTACTGAGTCTTTCTAAGTCTCAGGAAACTGTCAAATGAGGATAAACTTACAACTTGGTTGTAAGGATTAAAGGAGATAAAATGCATGCAATTCTTTTGCACCAGAAGTGCTAGGTAAGTGTTTTATCCAGAGAATGGTGCACCCGTTTTACCTCCCTGGTAAATACTTGGAATTGTTGCCAAGTGTTTCTGTGTCTCTCTCCTCACTCATTTTCTTTCTTCCCACATTCCTCATCCATATGAACCTTGATTGGTCCAGCTAGGCCAACCGTAAAGAAATGACTTAGGCAGTGGGGCAAAAACAGATGATGCGGTTTTTTAATTTTTTTTAATGTTATATTAGTCAGCATAGAGCACATCATTAGTTTTTGATGTCGTGTTCCATGATTCATTGTTTGGGTATAATAACACCCAGTGCTCTATGCAATACGTGCCCTCCTTAATACCCACCACTGGGATAATCAGTTCCCCATTCCCCCTCCCCGCTAAAACCTTCAGATGTGATTCTTATGGGAAAGAAATGGGCTGAATATCTGGGATCTTCGACTTCCTGAGGACCCCTGGGTCCCACTCTGGAGGTGGTGCAGGAGAAATGCTGAACAAGGAATGCTCCCACCAAATGTATCCTCTTTATTGCTGGGTGGCTTTTCTGCCTTGAACACTGGCCCCATGGGACTGGACAACCAAGACAAATACCTCTGTCCTTTAAAAGAAGGGCCATATGCATCCCGATGTTCAGAACAGCAATATCCACAATAGCCAAACTGTGGAAAGAGCCAAGAAACCCTTCAACAGATGAATGGATAAAGATGTGGTCCATATATACACTGGAATATTACTTAGCCATCAGAAAGGATGAATACCCAAATCTTGCATCAACATGGATGGAAGTGGAGGAGATTATGCTGAGTGAAGTAAGTCAAACAGAGAAACCCAATTATCACCTGCTTTCACTTACTTGTGGAACATAAGGAATAGCATAGAGGACATTAGGAGAAGGAAGGGAAAAATGAAGGTGGGGGGAATCAGAGTGGGAGATGTACCATGAGAGACTGTGAACGCTGAGAAACAAACTGAGAGTGAGAGGTTGGGTTGGCGATGGAGGGCACATATTGCATGGAGCACTGGGTGTTATGTGTAAACAATGAATCTTGCAACACTACATCAAAAGCTAATGAAGTACTGTATGGTGACTAACATAACATAATAAAAAATAATAATAATAAAACGAAAGTCACAAAGGAGTGATATCTCTTCCTAACCGTTGGAGCTCCTTCCAGTGGTGGGTGATGATGTAGTTATCCTCAAGACCCATTCTGCTCCCCTCACCCAGAACAGCATCTTCCCCACTCACCGGAGCCAAAGCCATCTCAGGGCCTCTCTGCCACCCACTGTTGTTTTCTTTTTTCTTTTTCTTTTTTTTTAGAAGCTTCATTACAAAAAAGGTACAATTGCAATAACATTAAGGAAATTTTTGGGAAAAGTGTTTTAGTCCCTCTACCACCACCTCACAGTATTTTAGCAAAAAGAAAGGATGAGAAATGAATAAACAAATCCCACCCACAAAGCATAGGGCCATTTCAATCCTTGTCTTTATTCAGACATATTTTATATAGTCACAGTGTGGGCAGAAACTAATTTCATCCTGCCTTCTTATTTTTTTTTTTTGTCATCTGTTACATGAACTTGTGCCATGTTTTCTACAGCGTTTACTGTTTTCCTTTGAAATGGCTCTGTACTTTCTCACCAAGCAGGTGGATCATGCTTTGCTAAATCCCTTCCCTGATCTTGGACATTTAGGTTGTTTCCAGTATTATATGTGGAGTGTGTGTGTGTGTGTGTGTGTGTTTATTCTGCATTCATAGAACTTAAGATCATATAGTTACAGTTTTAATCATTTGTAATAGCTACTATAGAATTAATGCTTACCTATAGGCCATTCACTATGGGGGAATTTGATCCTCAGAATAACCTCATATGTTTTGTCTCATTTATCTATTGTTCCTTAACAAACCACTCCCAAATTTAGTGGTTTAAGCAACAATTCTTTTATTAATATTTTTCACGATTCGGGGCTCATCTGCTTTCAGAAGCTGGAACATTAGAGATTCATTCACAGAGTCCTGCCTGGGCAGGACTGGCTGGAAGGCTGGGCTCAGCTGGGGTGGTAGAGTCTTTCTCTCCATAGCTATAGAAGTCTTGAGCTATAGACTTCCCTCATGGTGGCTCATAGCTTCCCAAAGTGCAAGAGCTATCAAGGTTTCTTAGGCCTATAACTGGCATGGTGTCACTTCTATTTCATGCTACTGCTGAAACTGGTCACAGGTCAGATTCAATATGAGAAGGGAACCAGGTGCGGCACACTGGGGATCATCTTTGAGGAATAGCTATGATACAATTATTATTTTCACCTTCACAGAGAGAAGCAGAGACTCAAAGGGGCAAAACAACTATCCAAGTCTGTTAGACTCTAAGGTTCCTATTCTGAACCATACTGCCTCCTGAAAATGAGATTCCATGGTAGCTGGAGTTACTGAAAAAGGAATATGAGTACCTTTATTATTAGTCTTACTAATCCATGCATTACTTTCTAAAAAGGGTGTGACGATTTTTTAACATGCCTGAGATAGTCTGATGGTACCAGGACTCCCCAGTCTCTCCAGATGAGCTTCTAGTGCTACAGGTTATTTCTTTTTTTTTTAAGATTTTATTTACTTATTTGAAGAGAGAGAGAGAGAGAGAGAGAGAGACTATGAGAGGGGAGAGGTCAGAGGGAGAAGCAGACTTTCCATCGATCAGGGAGTCCGATGTGGGACTCGATCCCGGGACTCCAGGATCTACCTGAGCTGAAGGCAGTTGCTTAACCAACTGAGCCACCCAGACACCCTACAGATTATTTCCTTCCAGAATCAATATCATTTACAGAGAGGCATCTCCCTTTCTTTCTTGACAGGGAAGAACTATTTCATAGTAAGAATGGGGCCCGAAAAAGTGCCAAGAAGATCCTCATTGTCATCACAGATGGGCAGAAATACAAAGACCCCCTGGACTACAGTGACGTCATCCCCCAGGCACAGAGGGCTGGCATCATTCGCTATGCCATTGGGGTATGTCCACTTCCTCATGTCTCCCTCAGACTCAGGCTGTATCTCACTCTGGCAGAAAGGCTAGTGGTCTCCTCCTCACCTGTCTCTCTGTCACAGGTGGGAAATGCTTTCCAGGAACCCACTGCCAGGCAGGAGCTGAACACCATTGGCTCACTGCCCTCTCAGGACCACGTGTTCAGGGTGGACAACTTTGCAGCACTCGGCAGCATCCAGGAGCAGCTTCAGGAGAAGATCTTTGCAGTCGAGGGTAAATGCAGGGCGAGCCTGGGTCTTGGGATTGAAGGTTCTGGGCCCAGGTATCCCCTGCAGTATGGAGGGGCTATCCCTATTCACGGCTCACCCAGAATTGTGCCCCAGAACCTGAGCTTCAGATTCATTCTTCTCCTTGTGCTCTGAGTCCTTGTGGTCTCATGGTCCCCAGAGCCAAAGTGACCTGTTTCCCCACAGGAACCCAGTCGAAGACAAGTAGCTCTTTCCAACATGAGATGTCACAAGAAGGCTTCAGTTCAGTGCTCGCAATGGTGGGTGGAACACATACTTGATAAACAGGTGTCAGGCACCAATCCCGGGCCAGCCCTGTGCTGGGAGTTGGGACCCAGAAGTAAATAAGAAAGCAGATTCTGTCTTCAAGTTCATTGTCTGTTCAGAGACAGACATATGGGTAGTGTACGTAGGTGCCAAGAGCACAGCAGAGAACAGAGTAACCACGGTGTCTGCTCTCATAGGGCACCTATTCAGTGGGAGGAGACAACAAACAACCAAAAATAACTTCAGATTGTGCTAGGCATTAGGATAGAGCAAGAGAGGTGATCAGAGGAGGCCCGAGGAGTGACAACTGAGGCCAAATGATGAGAAAGGGCCATCCCTCGAAAAATCTGGGAGAGATTGCTCCAGGAAGAGGAAAAAGCAAGTGCAAAAGTCTTGAGGCATGAACACGGTTACTGGACCAGAGAGATAGAAGGGCCAGCGTAGCTGGAGCAGAGTGAGAGAGAGGGGTGGAAAGATGGGGAAGGCCAGATCATGCAGATGAAAGAAATGACAATATAGCATGGATTGTGTGCAAGTAGATGTGTGTTGAAAACATCCAGAGGGGTTTGCTTCAAAGTAATTTTGGGGGTGAATTGGGGGGACATAGAAATGAAACAAGGTTGGTCATGATTTGGTCATTGAAGCTGGGTCATGGGTACTTGGGAGTTCATTAAGCATTTCTTTCTACTTTTGTATATGTTCTAAATTATCCATAGTCAAAAGTTTAAAAAGGCAAAAAAAAAAAACAACAAAGTATGCAGAGTAGGAAAGGCCTATCACTCCCTGAGGGAGCCAAAGAAGACCTCACAGAGGAGGTGAGTTTGAGGTTGAGTCTTCCTGAGAATGGAGTGGAGTCCTAGAAAGACAGAAGAGAGAGGTGTCCAGCTCAAATGCTTCATGTGTTTAAACATAAGGTATCTCCACAGATTTGACTGGGAGGACCCTAGATGCAATCCTCAGGGGCTTGGTGACAGGGAGCCATCTTGGATTGCCAGCAGGGTGGTGGCTATACGTTTCTTGGTCCTGAGGAAACCTAACTCTGGTGTACTAGAGGATGGAGTAGAAAGGGTCATGGGTGAGAAGAGTTGGTACTTACTGGAACAGTGGCACTGGGGATGGTTGAGAGATGTTAGGAGTGAGCGACACTGAAGTTGTTGAAGAAGACTGGGGAGGGAGGAAGAGAATTCCAAATAGTGAGCAGAATCAGTGGCAGGCCTTGCTTTGGAACAGGCCATCTTCTTTCGGCTTGGTCTGGCTCAGCCCTGGAATCCTTTCCTCCCAGGATGGACCAGTTCTGGGAGCAGTGGGGAGCTTCAGCTGGTCTGGAGGTGCCTTCCTGTATCCCCAAAATACAAGCCCCACTTTCATCAACATGTCTCAAGAGAATGTGGACATGAGGGACTCTTACCTGGGTGAGAAAAGGCTGTGGTTGGGGGCACAGGTGGGACATGAGCCTGGGAAGGGCAGGGGCTCAGGGGTGGGGTGGAAGCCTTTGTGCTGAGGTGTGCCCTCCTCAGGTTACTCCACTGAGCTGGCCTTTTGGAAGGGGGTCCAGAGCCTGATCTTGGGGGCCCCCCGCCATCAGCATACTGGGAAGGTAGTCATCTTCACCAAGACATCTGGGCAATGGAGGCCGAAAACAGAAGTCACAGGGACTCAGGTTGGATGTTGAGGAAGCTGGAGTGGAACGTGAGGGTGGCAGGGTCTGCAGGGGCAGAGAGAGAGGAGTTGAAGGGGTTTGGGATCCTGTAGGGGGGGAGGTCCCAGTGGCTGGGGAGAAGTGGGACGTGTCCCAAAAGGGGCTGCCTCTGGCAGGGGCAGGCGGGATGACTTTTGGCTGTGCCCTGCAGATCGGCTCTTACTTTGGGGCCTCCCTCTGCACTGTGGATGTGGATAGAGATGGCAGCTCTGACCTTGTCCTCATCGGGGCTCCTCATTACTACAAGCCAACCCGAGGGGGGCAGGTGTCTGTGTGCCCCTTGCCCCAGGGGGTGAGTGTCTGATGAGACCAGGGCTGGGTGGGGCCTGGGTGTGGGGTGGAGGGATTGCCTGTGTTGGGACCTGACACTGGTTTTGTTCTGCAGAGGGCTAAGTGGCAATGTGAGGTCATTCTCTTTGGGGAGCAAGGCCACCCTTGGGGCCGCTTTGGGGCAGCCCTGACAGTGCTGGGGGATGTGAATGGGGACAAGCTGACGGACGTGGCCATCGGGGCCCCGGGAGAGCAGGAGAGCCGGGGTGCTGTCTACCTTTTTCATGGAACCTCAAGACTGGGCATCAACCCCTCCCACAGACAGGTGAGGCCCCTGTCTGAAGCCTCTCCCAGTTCTACCTGCTTTTCTAGGTCTCAGATTTGCCTGATGCCCTGTCATGTCACTGACCTGAACAGTAGCCATGCTCCTTTTAGGGGTCTAGTGCCCTGAATATCACCAGGCCAAGCTAAGCACAGAGTATCTCTCCTTTCTCCTGTGGGCAGCTTAGTGGTTAAGAGATTGCAGGGCGTGGGTCAAATGCCTGGCTGGCCATGTCAGCTGTGTGGCCTTAGGCAAGCGACTGATTTAGCCTCTAGGAGCCTTAGTTTCCTTCTGTGAGACATTAAATGAAGGAGCTCTAAGTCTGGGGTCCCTGGGGTCTCACTATTCTTGCTTTCCATTCCTACCCTCTTATCTCTCTGAATTTTTCCATTCAGTTCTGCTTTCTCTGCAGTTTTCTTTCCAAATCTTTCCTCTCAAATCTTTCAGATGCCCTCCTCTTGACTTCCACTTTTCCTTTTCCCCTCTGGCCAGCGGATCACAGGCTCCCAGCTCTCTCCCTCACTCCAGTATTTTGGGCAGTCGCTGAGTGGGGGTCAGGACCTCACCCAGGATGGATTGGTGGACCTGGCTGTCGGGGCCTGGGGACAGGCGCTGCTGCTCAGGTGACAACTCTCCACATCCCACCCTTGCCCACTGTGTGTCCATTCAACAAGCTGCCCCCTCCCTAGTCCTCCTGCCCGAGGCCAGATTCAGGTCCTCAGCCCCTGCATGCACCCTCAGGAGTCGGCCAGTGCTGAATGTGGGGGTGGCCATGAGATTCATGCCAGCGGAGGTGCCAAAGGTTGTGTACCAGTGCTGGGGAGACATGCCATCCACCCTGGAAGCTGGGAATGCCACAGTCTGTCTCACTATCCACAAAAGCTCACTGGACCAGCTAGGTGAGTTTCTTCCCAGTGGACCCAGTCCCTTATCCCCTTGAGACCCCAAGCCTACCTCAGGAGAAAATGGGCTAAGGAATCCAGATACCACCTCCACATCCACCTGCCTGCCAGTGTAGGAAACCCTGGGTCCCTTCTCTCCCCCTCTCCCCACACCCAGGCCAGTGGGCTCTAAGTCCAGGATATGATCTGGAGTCTGCCTACTTCTCTCCACCTACTCCAGCCACTGCCTACCTTGAAGCCACCTCTTTTCATTCCTACCTATACTTTGAGCTGTTTCCATGTCTGTTCTTGCAACCTCCCAACTTTTCTCCATAGAGAAACTAGAAGTATTGGTCCTAAAACACAAATCTCTTCTCCTCACTTGCCTACTTAACATCCTCCTGCCTCTCCTTTCTTCCATTTATAAAGGCTAAGATCCTTCTCTACAATGTCCTTGCTGATTTTGCTCCACCCTGCCCTTCCAACCTCACCTCATCCCACTCTCCGTTTCTGTAAATGTGCCATCCTCCCTCTATCTTCTGGTCTTAGCCATTGTTCCCATGGTTTGGGACCTTCTCCTCCCCATTCTTCACCAACCCTTGGTCATCCTCCAGGTTGGGGCTCAGACAAGGCCCACCCAGGAAGGCATTTCTGATCCCAGGCAAGCCCTCCTTGGTACTACTGGGGATCCCATCATTGGGTTTATCATGTTGGGGGATTATGTTCTGCATGCTTGTCTCCTTTCCTAGACTGAGAGTTTCATGAAGGCAGGGATGATATTTCTTTATCTTCTTCTCCACATGTATTCCAGTGCCTGATATACCTCATAGCCCATAGGAAGTTCTCAGCAATATTTTTTGCATGAATAAACAAAACCTGAACATTCGAGGTTCTCTTGGACTTTCCATCTTCTGTTCCTCCCTTCTGCTTCAGGTGATGTCCAAAGCTCTGTCAAGTATGATCTGGCATTAGACCCAGGCCGTCTGGTTTCTCGTGCCATTTTTGACGAAACCAAGAACTGGACTTTGACTCGAAGAAAAACCCTGGGAATGGGAGTTTACTGTGAAACCATTAAGCTGCTTTTACCAGTAAGGACTTTGGTTCTGGGAAAGGGATGGGGAGAAGGAGCCCAAGGAGAACCTCTGGTACCTCTGCTCCCTGTTGAGTGTCGTGTAAAGGGTGGGGATATTGGGGCCAGAGAGAGGAAATTGAAGCCAGAGAACCTGACTCCACAGCTAGGACAGAATGCTGTCCCGACAGTAGGAAATGGATGCAGTTGAGGAGAAGGGTCAGTGGTGGAAAATAACGAGAAGGATAGTGGGTTCTTGAAAGGCCATTCTCCCTTAGGACTGTGTGGAGGACGTGGTCAATCCCATCATCCTACGCCTCAACTTCTCCTTGGTTGGGGAGCCCATCCCCTCATCTCAGAACCTTCGCCCTGTGCTGACTATGGACTCCCAGGACCTCTTCACTGCTTCTGTGAGTCTTCCAATGAAGTCCCAGGGATGTGTTGACTTTCACTCCGTTTCTGTGTCTTAAGAACCTGTTGTGGTTCTCAACTTTTCATCAACCACCTCAAGTCCATAATGCCTCCACCCAGTTACCAAGGCCCTGCCTAGTTTGGACTCTTACACACATCCCAACTGGTCACCACTTTACCTCAACATAAACTGATTCTCATTCTCCAAATCCTTCCCAATTTTTCTCATTCCTTCCTCTGTTTCTTTTTCCATGTCATAGTTTCTACCTGGAAAACATTTTTTTTCTCTCCACCTCAAAAATCCTTTCTAATTCTCTAAGCCCCAGTCTTAGCTTCCCCTTTTTTGGAAATCAGAGTCAGCATCTGTCCCTCCTTCACTGGCTTCCTATTACATCATGGTGATACCAAATATTACATGACTGGAATCATGGCAATTGGCATCAACTTTGGTTGATCTCTGGAAATTGTGAATTCTGTGAGTACAAGAGCCATGTCTAATTCATCTGTGGTTTCCACGCTTCCTAATGCCTCACCCAACTTGGAACCTGTCCCCTATCGAATAATTGTTCCAATGTGAGATGGAATTAACTCCTCAGCTAAACTTCATGTTCCTTGAAACCAAGGATCTTATCATTCTGCTCCCTTCCTTACTGCCCCACTTCTTGACAGTGTCTAGCATAGTACTAGGTGTGGGATGGGTGCTCAGTAATACTCAATAACGAACACTCAGGATGAGTGGAATGCAGAAAGATTAAGACATGGAGGGGAAGAGAATCTCCTGTTTTTCTGCAGCTCCCCTTTGAGAAGAACTGTGGACAAGATCACCTCTGTGAAGGGGACCTGAGCATCAATCTCAGCTTCTCAGGGTGAGCTGAGAGATGTCTATCTCTTTTCATTTCTAGACACTTAAGCTTTTGGGTCTCCTATCCCCATGGGATGAGAAATGCTTGTTTCCCTTTGGCTCTCCTTCTAACAAAGAAATTAAATTTTGATTGGAACGTTATCAGTTCATGAGTTCCTGCAGTCCTGGCCTTACCCTTGATCCAATTCCAACTGATTTCCAGTGGAATGTCTTTTTCACTTTTGCCCTTCCTCTTTCAGCCTGCAGACCCTTGTGGTAGGGAGCTCCCTGGAGCTTAATGTGACAGTGACTCTGTGGAATGAGGGTGAGGATTCCTATGGAACTGTGGTCCACTTCTACTACCCAGCAGGGCTGTCCTATCGACGAGTGTTAGGAACACAGGTAAATATCTCCCTTGTTCTCTTATGTCTCTTCCCTGCCCTGAGTTACAGTAGGTTCTTTTTAATTCTTCTACGATGAAATCTAAACATAGATACAGACAATTCTGAAGAAGAGAGAGAGAGACACAGAGAGAGTGGTGCATAAAGCAGATGTATAGTTAAATAAATAATATTAAGCAAATAGCATCCAGGTCAAGGAATAATACACTGGTAGTACCTCCAGAAGTACTCTCTCTATGTTCTTTTCCTCATGAAAACCTCAATCTCTCCCCAAGTTAACCTCTATTCTGACTTTGTGATAATCAATTCCTTGTGCGGTTTATGGGTTTACCACCCATGAGTTCATCTATGAAAAAACTGTTGTCTTTTGTCAATATTTGAAATTTATGGGAACATGTTCTATGTTATTTTGTGTGTTTTTTCATTTCTTCAAGATATGTTTGTGAAATTCATCCCATGTTGTTGCCTGTGGCTGTAGAACATTTTTAAAATTATGTTATGTTAGTTACATATTGTACTTCATTAGCTTTTGAAGTAGTGTTCCATGATTCATCGTTTTTGTATATCACCCAGTGCTCCATGCAATATGTGCCCTCCTTAATACCTATCACCATGTTACCCCATTTTCCTACCCCTCTTCCCTCTAAAACCCTCAGTTTGTTTCCCAGAGTCCACAGTCTCTCATGGTTCATCTCCCCCTCAGGTTTCTCCCCCTTCATTTTCCTTTCCTTTTCCTAATGTCCATCATGCTATTTCTTATGTTCCACATATAAGTGAAGCCATATGATAATTGACTTTTTCTGCTTGACTTATTTCACTTAGCATAATCACCTCCACTTCCATACATGCTGATGCAAAAGTTGAGTATTCATCCTTTCTGATGGCTGAGTAATATTCCAGTGTATATATGGACCACATCTTTATTCATTTGTCTGTTGAAGGGCATCTTGGCTCTTTCCACAGTTTGGCTATTGTGGACATTGCTTCTATGAACATTGCCCATAGAACATTTTTATTGTATATAGAATCCCTTTGTATGACTATATCACAATTTATTTACCCATCCTAAAATTTTTTAATAAAAGTTTTTATTTAATTTCTAGGTAGTTGACATGTAGTGTAATATTGGTTTCAGGACATAATTCATACCTTACATAGAACACTCAGTGCTCATCACAGCAAGTCCCTCCTTAATATCCATCACCCATTTAACCCATCCTCTGCCCACCTCCTCTCCAGAAATCTTCAGTGTGTTCTCTACAGTTGAGTCCCTCATGGTTTGCCTCCCTCTTTTTTTCCCTTCCCCTAGTTCATCTGTTTTGTTTCTTAATTCCACATATGAGTGAAATCATATGGTATTTTTCATTGACTGACTTATTTCAGTTAGCATAATACTCTCTAGTTCTATCTTGCAAACAGCAAGATTTCATTTATTCTTTTAGATGGCAGGATAATATTCCATTGTACTAGTATACCACATCTTCCTTATCCATTCATTACTTGATGGATATTGGGGCTCTTTCAATAGTTAGTCTTTCATATTTAATGTTGCTATAAACATTGGGTTCCATGTGCCCCACTGAATCACTATTTTTATATCCTTTGGGTAAATACCTAATAGTGCAGTTGCTGAGTTGTGGGGTAGTTCTATTTTTAAATTCTCAAGGAAGCTCCATACTGTTCTCCAGAGTGGCTGCACCAGTTTGCATTCTCACTCACAGTGTAAGAGTGTTTCCCTTTCTCTGCATCATTGCCAACACCTATTGTTTCTTATGTTGTTTATGTTAGCCATTCTGATAGGTGTGAGGTGATATCTCAATGTAGTTTTGATTTGTATGTCCCTAATGATGACTGATGAAGATCTTTTCATGTGCCTGTGAGCCATCTTTATGTCGTCTTTGGAAAATGTCTGTTCATGTCTTATGCCCATTTCTTAACAGGATTATTCATTTTTTTGGTTGTTGAGTTTGATAAATTCTTAATAGATTTTGGTTACTAACCCTTTATCAGATATGTCATTTGCAAATATCCTCTCCCATTCCATTGGTTACCTTTTTATCTTGTTAATTGTTTCCTTAATTGTGCAGAAACTTTTCATCTTGATGAAGTCCCAAATGTTCACTTTGGTTTTGTTTCCCTTGCCCCCAGAGATGTGCCTGGTAAGAAGTTGCTTAGACTGAGGTCCTATAGGTTGCTGCCTATGTTCTCCCCTAGGATTTTGATGGTTTCCTGTCTCACATTTAGGTCTTTATTCCACTTTGAATTTATTGTTTTGTATGTTGTATGAAAGTGGTCCAGTTTCATTCTTCTACATGTGGCTGTCCAATTTTCCCATCACCATTTGTTGAAGAGACTTTTTTCCATTGGATAGTCTTTCTTGTTTTATCAAAGATTAGTTGACCATATAGTTGTAGGTCCATTTCTGGGCTTTCTTTTCAGTTTCATTTATCTGTGTGTCTATTTTTGTACTTGTATCATACTATCTTGATGACTACATCTTTGTAACACAACTTGAAGTCTAGATTGTGATGCCCCCAGCTTTGCTCTTCTTTTTCAAGATTGCTTTGGCTATTTGTGGTCTTTTAGTTCCATAAAAATTTTAGGTTTGTTTGTTCTAGCTCTGTGAAGAATGCTGGTGATATTTTGTTAGGGATTGGTTTAAATGTATAGGTTGCCTTGGATAGTATGACATTTTAATAATGTTTTAATTCCAATCTTTAAGTATGAAGTATTTTTTCATTTCTTTGTGTCCTCTTCAACTTTTTTCCTTAGTGTTTAATTTTTGAAGAGTATTGATCCCTTACCTCTGGTTAGATTTATTTGTAGGTATCTTTTGTAAATGGGATCAATTTCTTGATTTCTCACTCTGCTGCTTCATGATTGGTGTATAGAAATGTAACAGAGGTTGGTGGGGGATGGGGTAAATGGGTGATGGGCATTAAAGAGGGCATGTGATATGATGAGCACTTGGTGATATTCTCAACTAATAAATCATTGAACATTATGTCAAAAACTAATGATGTACTATACCTTGGCTAACTGAATTTTAATAAGTAAAAACAAAACAAAACAACAATAAAAAAGAAATGCAATAGATTTATGTACCTGATTTTATCTTGTTTGAGTTTGCTGAATTTGTGTATCAGTTCCAGTAATTCTTTTGTAGAGTCTTCCAGGTTTTTAAATAACGTATTGTGTCCTCTGTGAACAGCGAATAGCTTGACTTCTTTCTTGCAATTTGGATGCCTTTTATTTCTTTTTATTGTTTGATTATTGAGGCCAGGATTCCAGTAATACATTAAACAACAATGGTGTGAGTGGACATCTGTACTCATATTATAATTTGTGGTCATTTGAATTGTTCCCTGATTTTGGCCATGACTATTCTTGAGCATGTATATTGGTGCACCTATGCATAATATTTGGAAGGTATTTGCCACATATGGACTTGCTGGATCTTGGATTCCTGTATCTTCAATTATAATAAGTACAGACCAACCATTTTCACCTTTTTGCACTTCCATCAGCAGATTATTAGAGTTCCTGTGAATTTCTATCCATTGTATCACTTGGCATTGTCAGAGTTTTAAATTTTTGTCCATCTGGTGATATTTCCTTACAGTTTTAACTTGCATTTCTTTAATAAAGTTGAGGAACCTTTCGTCTATTTCCTGGTGATTTTGATTTCTTCTTTTAGGAAGTGCCTGTGCAAATTTTTTTCTTATTTTTCTATTGAATTGTCCATACTTTCATTTTTGTTTAATTTTTTATTTAAATCAATTTAGTTAACATATATTGTATTATTAGTTTCAGGGGTAGAATTTAGAGATTCATCAGTTGCATATAATACCTATATTACATAAACTGCCTTCCTTAATGCCCATCACCCAATTATCCCATCACCCACCCACATTCTTTTCTTAATTGTAAGCATTCTTTAATATTCTGGTTACCAGTACTTTTCCATTTATATGTGTTTAGATATATTTTCCAGCCCTATTGCTTGTCTTTTCAGTTTCTTTTAGAGGGACTTTTAATAAACCAAATGTGTTAATTTGATTGTGGTTGATTTTTACCAAAATTTCCTTTAGGTTTAGTGTTTTTATGTGCTGATCTTGGTGATGTCATGGTTCTGGAGAGCGGGGGTTGGGGGGGGGTGAGGTCAGGTCTTGACGTCCAGCAGGGGCATCAGCTTGTGCTGGTAGTCACTCTGCCAGCCGTGTACCACCTTGGGGTCCCCCACATCCAAGAGCAGCTTCTTCTAGGCCTCATGCAGTTCCTCCGCAGGGTCGTGGCTGTAAATGGGGAGCAGGTGATGGCGAAGCTGGTCCACTCGCTTTTTCTTCTGCACATACATTACCATGGAGTCACTGTTGGCCTGGGGGGGCATTGGGCACTGTAGTGTTACTCATGACATCCGCAGCCGGAGGGCTGGGTGGTCAGCACGGGCAGTGGGACCTCGGAAGGGCGCCTCCACGGGGCTCCCTCCTGCAGCTGCAGCCCGGGACAGGAACGCCCTCGGTTGGCTCCCAGATATCTTGTTTAAGAAGTAATTCCCTACTCCAAGGTTACCAAGATATTCCCCTTTATTACATTTTAGGAGCTTCATAATTTTGCTTTTTCACATGAAATATTTAATCTAGTGGGAATTTATTGTAATGTATGGAGTGAGGTAGGAATTCATTGTTTTTTGGTTTTTTTTTTTTTTTTTTGTCAGATTGCTTGATTTTTTTTTGGTATGGGCCAATTATCCTAGTGTTTTTTGTTGAAAATTCTGTCCTTTCTCCTACTGCTCCACAATGCCACCACTGTTGTATATCAAGCCCAAAAATGTACATGGGTAACATTTTTGAATTCGATTTCCTTCCCTGGAAGCAACCCCATCAGCGCCCACTGCGCCTGGCATGTGAGGGAGTGCCCACTGGGAATGAGGGCCTGAAAAGCAGCAGCTGTAGCATCAACCATCCCATTTTCCAAGAGGGCACTAAGGTGAGTGCCTCCCCACAGATCCTCATCACTCTCCTCCCCTGTCCTGACCTGTTCCTATCTCTCATTCTTCCATAACCTTCCTTATCCTCATTCCTTCTTTCTTCTTCTCCCAGGGCACCTTCATAGTCACATTTGATGTCTCATACAAGGCCACCCTGGGCAACAAGATGCTTCTGAAGGCCAATGCAAGCAGGTGAGGCCAGGTGTATCCCTCACTCTTTCATCTCATGCCCCTGCCAGAGAGTTCTCCCCTGGATTTCTTTTCAATGAGGTTCCTCCACTCTCTCTCCAGTGAGAATAATAAACCTATGACCAGCAAGACCACCTTTCATCTGGAGCTCCCAGTGAAATATGCTGTCTACATGGTGATCAGCAGGTGTGAAATTTTGACTCTCCTGTAAGCCTAAATCTCCCCTTGCAGCCGAGACTGATCTTTAAATGATAGGTATATAACTAGCCCTCTAATTCCTTACATGGGAGTACTTGTGACCAGTCATCTATTTATGCTATAATAACTTATACTATATACTTCTTGCTTCTTCTCTGATGGGTTTACCTATTGGTGGGACACACACATACAGTTTGCCACCACTCTTGCACTCCTCCTTTTATCTCCAAAGTGCAGGTTTCCTTTAACATGAAGCCAAGTCTATTATTCATGCTAAATATGAGTATGCTGAAGTGAAACTAACAAGATTAAGATTGAGGTTTTTATGAGCACTCTGAAGTGGGAGATACGGTTTGTCACCACACAGAGGAAAGAAAAGGTCAGGGTTTCACAAAGCAAAGAGGAGACCAGAGATGTGACAAACATCTGGGAAAGTCACTGGAGTCCAAGGTTGTGGCAGGTCACAGGAAAGTCACGTGCAGGGCTGTTGCTGTCAGTTCTGAAGGTGGGTGGTGGAGCAGGGTCAGGCCAGGCTGGAAGCAGGGCAAGGAGACCCACAAATCTGGCTAAACTCCAGAAGTTTGGAAGGTGGTCAAAAGCTTATAATATTGCCATGGGACAGAGTTTGCCACTGTTGTTGCTGCTGATGACACATGAATTTTTAGGGCAACTGGGTAGGGAGAATCAAACAGTGTCATTCCCCTTTGAAACACCATGTATGAATTTTCCCTGCCGTTCACAGGAAAATAGTGGAACTTACATTAAGAGCTTACAGTTATATATACATATGATATGCCAAGCATCTAAAAAGAACTTTACATGTATTTACATTCATTTAATCCTTCTAATAACTCTGTGATATGCTTATTGTTTTGTTTTGTTTTGTTTTAAAGATTTTATTTATTTATTTTACACAGAGAGATCACAAGTAGGGAGAGAAACAGGCAGAGAGAGACAGGCAGGGGCGGCGGTGGGGGGAAGCAGGCTCCCTGCTGAGCAGAGAGCCCGATGCAGGACTCAATCCCAGGACCCTGAGATCACGACCTGAGCTGTAGGCAGCGGCTTAACCCACTGAGCCACCCAGGCACCCAATATGGTTATTGTTAACCCCCCTTTTTTACCAACAAAGAAATCAAGAGGTTAAGTAACTTATTCTTTTCAGTTAGCTGGTAAGTGACAGAACCA